AACTATTAAAAAAATTTGTATACCTCTCTCAATAGAGTAATCTGAGTCAGAATCAAGTTCGCCACCAACTCTATCATCATCACTGTATTCACTGGACAGGTAACCATCATAGTCCAGATCTTCTTGTTCTACCTGTCCGACACCAGCCCCTTGTTTAGTACGTATACGGTAACGAGACATGTTAGGATTTACGTACTTCCTTCCAAAGAATCGTGGACTGTAACTACCACTGTAACAATATTGAATCTTTGTTATTTCATGCCTTCTATTGACATATTTGAGCCACGTCACGACAATACCAACATAATGGGTTTGAGACCAGCATGGATCCAGGCACATCCGCACAGTCTGATCAGGATCCATGCTGTTCGCTATCAGTTTCTTTACTTGTTATAGGGTCTGTAAGCGAACAGCATGGATCCTGATCAGACTGCGCAGATGCGCAGGCTGGTCTGGATCCATGCTGGCAGCAAACACATTATGTTGGTTTTGTTGTGAAGCGGCTCATATTTATTTCTATTAGTGAGATATAGTTTATATCAGTAACAGTATGTCACTCATGGTGATAATATATGAATTTTTAAAACATACAATATAATATGAACAAATATTTCTTTACATAAATATAACTTTTGATCTACAAATAGGTTCTTTCGTTTAAAATGAAAGGGTTTTTACACTCTGATGATAATGTTTGAGATAAATTTAAATTAAAATGTTCCATAAAAACAAATCAATATCCTACATATCCTACATTTGCATTATCATTGCATTATTATCAATCATGCATATAAACTATATCATAAACCACTTTTTTTCATCTTCGACCAGACAGAATATTCTACCTGTATATAACATATTAATCAAGAGAAAAACATATCACTTACAGCTGCTGTGAATTACAAATGATTATCTTAAAATATCCAACACTTTCACAAGATGATGTGTATTAACTACATGTAAACATAACAATCTTAATCACTTCTCCATCAAATAAAACACTAAAAAAATATGTTAACATCCTAGTAAATATAAAAAAACACATCAATCTAGTGAACACAATATTCTTAACCTGCCACTTATGTTAATATTCATACCTTAATCCTTAAGTATCATAAAATTCAAAAGTTATCACCCACGTTTTGTTGAAGAGTAGATTTTTATGCATTCATTTTACATTTCTATTTTCGTAGAAAAGAAATGCATACCACTTAATACAATTACATACGAGATGTGGTTTTCCCTCACAAAACCACTTAAGAATTAATGAGTCATGCCCAGAATGCACACAAAAGTATGTTGTTCAAATCCATTCAATATTACACTGTAGAAGTTTAAAAGTTAGTCGCGATATCAAAAATTCAAATTTTTCCCATTAGCATTAGATGTTATAAATCGTTTTTAAAGCCTTCTATATTCGGTTAGCCATGCATACAGTTTATTGTAGAAATGATTTTGATCATTTTAATTCCTTACAAACATAAAAAGATAAGGATTTAAACAGTGAGAGAATTTTTATTTTATGATGATAACCACTGAAATATTCACAAGTTCATTAACAGAAGTTAAGTAGGAAAATTTGGTATATGTTTGCAAGCAGGCAACAGAGTGTCCATGTTTTATATTAAACTAAATGGTTTTTCTTAAAAAAAAACTTTAAGAGTTAAAATATTTACAATATAAAGTGTGTATAGTCAGTCATATTTTAGAAATGTCAAAAAGATTGTGTTTTTGTAACCTGCTGTATGTATTTGTACAATGGATTTCCCCAGAGTGCCATAAATGTGGGACAGTCCAGGGATTTCAGTTAAAAATACAAAAAATTTGCTATCTAATACTCTTAGAAAATTTCATGGCTCTAATCAGGGGGTATAACTCTGTCATCTCAAAAAAAATCTTCAAAATATCAAGGTGTGTATAGTTCACAATTATTGACAATTATTCTTAAAGATTTATAGTTCTTAATTATACTTTTGGGGTTCACACATAAAACAAACTTGTCTAAAAATGCATTTTTTCCTTGATCAGGGGCAACTCTATCTCTTATAAATTTGTGTCAAAATTTCCAGGTGTATCAGTCCACTTACTGATTACTATTCTTAGAAAGTTGAATGGCAAGTGACATCAAGTCTACCTACAGACAACCTGTACAAGAGTAGAGCTATAATATGCCCACCTCCTTTAGTAAGATGCTAAAATAAATGTTCATTTCAATGTGATGGGCAGAATGTCAGTGATTTTTCTCACTTAATTGGAGAGAGGCCTTTAAGCCTCTTGATTTTGGGAAAATTTATTATCGCTAAAACTGCTGATTTCAAAAGTAAAAAAGCTGGTTTAAGTAGTAATGTAAAAAACTGCATGATTTTAAAGAAAATTTCAATTGGGAAGAGGCCTTTTTTCAGAGTCTGATATATAAGTAGGAAAATCACTGATGTATATATTAAATTCATAAATGTTGAATCTGCTTCAAAAAGTGAAAACAATTTGCATACCATTACACTTACAAAAAGAATGATATAAAGCATCATTTATTTGCTAAACAAACATTTATAGCCACAGCTAGAAGAATGAGGTAGAGGACAAACCCAGAGCGTAAGATCAAGTGCAAGAACAGAAACAAATTTGTTAGACTCAATTGTCATTTATTGGTGACCAGTCTTAATTAACTTTTCCACAAGAATCAAATGTCATGTGACCATCAATCTGCCAACTTCATGAGTATTTCTTTCATTAGAAACTGCATTACAAGCCCATGGTTAAAATCTCATAAAAACTGTGGTGGCAGTTACAATTATTAAGTTAGATTGCAGGCCATGCAAGAATAACAAGATATGTTTGTAAAACATGTATGCCTCCTATCAGCAGCCAATAAGTCATGTGATAAGGTTATTATGCATGACTTCTGACCCAGTGATCAAACAATTAATAAGGGTTATCAAGTATCTACTGGTCATGACCTTAACCTTTGACCCCTTGACCCAAAACTCAATAGGGGTCATCTGCTGGTCAAAACCAATCATCATACAAAGTTTGAAGTTCCTAGGCCTAAGCGTTTTAAGTTAATTGATCGGAAACCGTTTTAACATACAAGGTCAATGTGACCTTGAACTTTGACCCCTTGACCCCAAAATCAATAGGTCATCTGCTGGTCATGACCAATCACCATACCATGTTTGAAGTTCCTAGGCCAAAGGGTTCTTAAGTTATTGATTTGAAAGCATTTTTACCTACAAGGTCAATGTGACCTTGCCCTTTGACCCCTTAACCCCAATATCAATAGGGGTCATCTACTGGTCATGACCAATCACCATACCAAGTTTGAAGTTCCTAGGCCTAAGGGTTCTTTAGTTATTGATCGGAAACCGTTTTTACCCAAGAGGTAAATGTGACCTTGACCTTTAACCCCTTGACCCCAAAATCAATAGGGGTCATCTACTGATAATGACCAATCACCATATCAAGTTTGAAGTCCCTAGGCCTAAGGGTTCTTTCGTTATTGAACGGAAACCGTTTTTACCTATAAAGTCAATGTGACCTTGACCTTTGACCCCTTAACCCCAAAATCAAAAGGGGTCATCTCCTGGTCATGACCAATCACCATACCAAGTTTGAAGTTCCTAGGCCTAAGGGTTCTTTCGTTATTGATCGGAAATCGTTTTTACCTACAAGGTCAATGTGACCTTGACCTTTGACCCCTTAACCCCAAAATCAATAGGGGTCATCTGCTGGTCCTGACCAATCACCCTACCAAGTTTGAAGTTCCTAGGCCTGAGGGTTCTTTTGTTAATGATCAGAAACCGTTTTTACCGAAGAGGTCAATGTGACCTTGACCTTTGACCCCTTAACCCCAAAATCAATAGGGGTCATCTACTGATCATGACCAATCACCATACCAAGTTTGAAGTTCCTAGGCCTTAAAGTTCTTTAGTTATTGATAGGGATGGCAACGAATACCAAAATCAATACTCGAGTACTCGGTCATTTTTCCGATCGAGTACTCGGTTACTCGGATGATTTTTAATGATCTTTAAAGTTTTATCACACAATCAATATCAACACCGTCTGTATGCTACTTTCGTTTTCTATTTTAATTCATAGAATTCGTAACTATAAATAGGACTGCAAGAAATATATAAATATAAACATAAGAAATGTCAATGACAGCATTTCTTATATACCTATAAATTTTCTCCCTAAAATACAGGATGAACTTGAAGCGCAAATGCAAATACGCTTCAATTAACGGATAGAAATTGACAAATACGGTACCATATATGGAAGTGCCGGACTATTTTTGACATTGGTTCCGATCTTAGCTTTGTATAAACGTAGCATTTAAAACGGAAACCAAAATTATAAAAGGCGTGGCCGGTTTTGCAAAAATTACGTATTCATCCGTCGGTCATAAATTTACTTCTTGACAGCTACATTTCATTTTCTGAAATTTCTTATAGTGTAGTATAATGAAAATCATTTATAATTCAAACGAAAAGGTATATAATAAAAAGAAAATTATGTTGTAGAAGCTTTCTGAGCCTATGCATTTTTCTACTCGCAATGTTGGAAAATTGATATTTCGCTCGACCTTCGGTCTCGCGAGATATCAATTTTTCCACCGCTGCTCGTAGCACAACATAATATTCCGTATATATTTACGTTTTTATAATAAAAAAGTTTCGGCTACAAACTGTCTAATATTTAAAGGCGATTAAATATCATAAGAGGCCGAATGACATAAACGACACAGGACTGTGTTCAATCCCATACGCGTGTCAAACTGCTGATCGTCTCGTTAAATTTACGATATCATTTTCACACCTCTGCAAGGATGTTTTGATTGCATTTAACAAGTATTTATATAGATACGTGTACCTTTCCGAATTTCTGAACTAATCTTTCTTAATCGCAAAAAAGTAGAAATTAAATATTTTTTTCAGAGTAATCGATTATCAATTTTGTTAACCGATATTCGGACGTTCGATCGAGTACTCGGTTAACCGGTTACTCGTTGCCATCCCTAGTTATTGATCAGAAACCGTTATTGCTTACAAGGTCAATGTGACCTTGACCTTTGACCCCTTGACCCCAAAATCAATAGGGGTCATCTACTGATCATGACCAATCACCATACCAAGTTTGAAGTTCCTAGGCCTTAAAGTTCTTAAGTTATTGATTGGAAACCGTTTTTGCTTACAAGGTCAATGTGACCTTGACCTTTGACCCCTTGACCCCAAAATCAATAGGGGTCATCTACTGATAATGACCAATCACCATACCAAGTTTGAAGTTCCTAGGCCTAAGGGTTCTTTCGTTATTGATCGGAAATCGTTTTTACCTAGAAGGTCAATGTGACCTTGACCTTTGACCCCTTAACCCCAAAATCAATAGGGGTCATCTGCTGGTCCTGACCAATCACCCTACCAAGTTTGAAGTTCCTAGGCCTTAAGGTTCTTTAGTTATTGATCGGAAACCGTTTTTGCTTACAAGGTCAATGTGACCTTGACCTTTGACCCCTTGACCCCAAAATCAATAGGGGTCATCTACTGGTCATGACCAATCACCATACCAAGTTTGAAGTTCCTAGGCCTAAGGGTTCTTTAGTTATCACTCGGAAACCATTTGGTCTACGGACCGACGGACCAACGGACCGACAAGTGCAAAGCAATATACCCCCTTTTCTTCGAAATGGGGGCATGATAATGGAATCAATACAAGCCATCATGTCAGTGAACCAGGCATTCTCTTCCTTTGTTTCAGGCCCATTTAGCTATAATAAAATGCAAAAATAAAGACTTCAAAATGGAACATTAACAGCCCTTTCATCTTATAATTAAGCTAGCTTTTCATAATGGATAAAATGCATGAATAAAAGAACAATGATTTAATGAGATATTCAAGCTGAAATTGCAATTATTTTAGCTACAATAAAAAAATTACTTCAATGTGAGCATATTTCATGATCATAGGGTTTAAGAATTTACAGACAGAATTTATTTTTTACATTACTACTTTAATTAAGTGACAGTCTTTACCCTTTTTAGGACTTGTAATATGTGACATGCCCATTAAAAGATCGTTACTTTTATGACAATGTAAGTTTGCAATAAAATATCTTCTATAATAATTATGTATATCATTAAAAATTGATAAAAACTGCCTTGCCCTATAGTTAATATGGTATGCAGAGTATATATTAAAGGTTTTCCTTACAAATTAATGGGAATATAAGGGGAGTAGTAACCAGTTTTATCTAAAATCGTAATGTTAAAAACTACCCTGTAAACATGCCAATCCTAAAAGCAGCTAAATTCTTTAAATGTATCTATACCATTGATAAGATTAAGATATTACAAAACTGTTACCTTCTCGCATATGTATAGTCTGTTTTAGGTAATCTGAAAAATAGAAAGAACAACAAAGTTAATTACACAAACTATTAAAATACACAAAATATTAAAGTACATGTAGTTCAAATTTGTAAAATACAGGTCAGTATAATCAAAATATTTGGAAATATTCTAAATAGTACACAATGTCACTGACTAGTGACTATAAAAAAATTAAACAATTAGACAATTACAACACTTACTCAGTTCTCATTTCCACTAATTTCTACATAATTATTGTCTCTAAAACTATTTATGTTCATACAATCATTCATACATTTATGCATTTGCTTATATTCAAAACTAGTCTAGATCAACGACAATATTCAAATGTGACATAAAAGTACAAATTTGAATTAGGCGGGCTAAGCATATATTTAATGATTCATTTCAAACCAGGTATTTTCTTGTTCACCAGACTGTATCAGTCATGGAACGTTAATTTTGCTGCATACATAATAAATTGGTGTAACATAACATTTTATACATGTGAGGCCTGCTTTATTTCATGAAATTATAGGCATAATTGTGTTAATTAACAGGCCTTTCAAGAAATTAGCTTGAGTCCAATACATAGATAAAGTTAAGCAAGAATGAAACTTATACAGTATTATAACATAATATAGATTCTTTTATATGTCAACTTTGAATAAACGTTTTATGTAACAAATCCTCAGAATAAAAAAGGTACTTTATAACACTATTTATATTATTGGATATGAGAAAAAGACTCCACATTATAAATTGGCAAGCTTGATTTTATTTTTGATTATATATGTAGCTGTATGTCAATTTCATATTATCAAGTTATTTATCTTGTCTCACACGCTAATTAAACCTGTCCATCATTACAGGTGTGGTCTCTCATCTCAATTCTAACTTATGAGCACAATTGTCCCCTGATTGTCAAACTGTTCACCCATTCAACACCATCAAAAAATATCCATGCTTTTTATCTTCAAGATCACTTTAAAACTGTAACACCTACCTGGTCCACCCACCTGTATTAATTATATGATGCTTGACCTATGATCCAAGGGTAAATTACTCTTATTTCACAACTTTACAATGTAATCCTTCAGTTTTATACACTAATAAGCAATTCCAATTCGTTCTTAAACAGTATGAGATCAAATTCAATTAAAGAAACCGTTCAATTTTCACGATACATCAATATTTTATTTCCATCAGATTATACAGGTTGTATTATATATAATTTACCTCGAGGCCAAACTCAAGATCTACACTGCTTTAAAATTCTGTTTACAAGCAAGAACAAGAGGTGATCAACTAGCCATAAAACATATTGCACAACCGAGTGATTTTGATGAATGTAGCAATCTTGTGGCGGGATTTACAAACTGCTACAATCACATTTCCCCTTCAGGCTTTTAGGCTTTTAACTGCTTAAATCACTTTTCCATATGTAGATTTTCAGTTTCTGTGTTAATTATTATTCAGATGGTGAAATGAATATGGGCAGCATGTTGAACCTTTATAAATTCATTGACTGATCAACTATAAAGGACTTTCATGTTAAATTTTAAAATATTTTATTACTAAAAAAACACATTTCAAGGATACATGCAACAGCTGCAAATGTATGGAGACTAGATTTATTATTAATCTTTTTGGGGGGAATTCAAGGGAGAGTACAAGACATTTTATCTATTTCTTAAGTCAATAGTAGACAGAGTAACGCACCTTCATTTAATAAACCAGTAATATAGAAATGATCCAGATAAATGCAATAAGATTAAATTGTGAGAGTTCATGCAGAAAAATTCTTTCTTTAAATTTGTGGGTTAAGTCATAAAAACAAAATTAAGACCAACTGTGAGACCCTGTCCATTTATATCAAAGAGACCTGCTGCAATTTTATTAAATTTATACAAAAGTAAGCATTTAATGAAAATCGCCAACTTAAGTTGTAAAATTTCACCCAGTCAAGACAAGAATATGGCCAAGAACAATTTATTCAATATGTCCAATGGACCCATTTTTCATACCAATTTTTTTCTTTACAAACTGTCAAACCCATGGTTATGCAAAATAAAAATCTTGAAGTTTTAATTAGTATTAAGAGCAGTTACTTTGAACTACACTATAGGCTAGATTATTAAGATGCAAGAAATCTGTTAGTCATTAAATCAGTTTGCCTCTATAGTAATGATTCATGAATCACATCATGACTTGGTTAAAAGGTTCAAAATGGAAACATTTCTATGCTACTGTCACGGTTCAGAACTGTTCACTATTTAGGGGAGAAGATGTGTAAGCGGCCGGATAGCTCAGTCGGGAGAGCCGCGGAACGGTATTCCGAGGGTCCCGGGTTCGAGTCCCGGTCAGGCTGCACATTTTTCTCACTCTGTGACATTTGGCGCCCAACGTGGGGCCGTGACTGATATAGCTCAGAGTTTAATTTACATTACTCTGTAACTCTGTGAAATTCGAGGACGAATTTCAATATAGCAGGGGAGTATGTCACGGTTCAGAACTGTTCACTATTTAGGGGAGAAGATGTGTAAGCGGCCGGATAGCTCAGTCGGGAGAGCCGCGGAACGGTATTCCGAGGGTCCCGGGTTCGAGTCCCGGTCAGGCTGCACATTTTTCTCACTCTGTGACACTACTTTTGGTGAAAGAAGTAGGCAGGAATTTTTAATAAGAAATTTTGGCAAAAATAGGCTCATTGACGCTACATTTTAATTTAAAATTAAATATATGCAGTCTGACTGAAGTTTTAGGGTATATAATGATCTAATGTAAGAGTGACCTCTAATTAGTCAATTATTTATTTATTGATTTTTCTTAATGACTTATAGGTCCATGGGGCTGGGCATTTTTTTGTTCTTTATTTGTTAAATATTTGTTTTTACTACATGTATCACAAGTCACTAGAATTAATAATTTGTTTCTTCTTCTACTTACTTTATGTATATACACAGCCAATTTAACTATTTTTAATTACTACATGTACATCTAACCCAGTTTAAAGAAAAAAAGTGTTATCTTACGTATATTATTTAAAAGACAGCGTTGTTTAGTAAAAACAGCTATTATTAGTTATTAGTCCATTCTCATAAAAAAGAGATTAATGATGTATCAAAAATTACTAGGTCATTTGAAACTATGTGATCAGTTAATTGGATTGCAAAATTTGTTTACCCAGATTTAAATTAAGCCTACAAACAAATAGATAGAAATATTCTTATTAAATACTTTTAGCATGAATAAGAATGTGTTAATAAAAGAATAAATCTAGCATTATTATTATTTATAATCCAAAACTAATCTCCTATTTTGGTAATTTTATATATCATACATTAACTATAAGAGTGGAAAAAACCTGACAAAAATAAAAAGAAAAATTCACCCAAAAGAAAATATTGGATTCAATATAATGTGTTTGAAGCAAACTGATGATGATGATGATAATATTGTAATCATTTAAGTTCAACCCATGTTTAGTTCACACACACATTGTACTTTTTAAGTGAGTCAGAAAGTGTTGAAACACCACAGTAATTACTGTATTCTGGTATATACTAGACAAGGTGAATAATTGAAATGCCTTTTCACTCGCCAAAATGAAAAATGTAAGAATGAATGAATCGCAGAAAAAATGTGATAATTTTCAACTTTGTGATCATGATTTCTGTTATGCTTCAGTCACACTACACCGTATAGCGTTAACGGACGTCCAACGCATAACAAAATTTTCAATCCGTCCATGTCCGTTCGCATGCGTTTCTTTTCCGTTTATCATGCGGCGTTTGCGCTTCTTGTCCGGCGGTGTCCGCTGGTGTTCGTTCCGTTCGGTGGAAAGTTTTGAACATGTTCAAAATTTTGAACGTACACCACCGGATAAAGTTGTCCGTCAGATGTACGGTAACCATGCGCTGGTATGCGTTTTGTTCGTTACTCGTACGTTCCTTATTCTGTACTTGTCCGGTTCGAGTCCGTTCTTGTCCGGTGGACCTGATTCACGGCCGGACTACTAACGGACATGCAGCGGATGTAACGTATGTTAAACGGACGATAACGAACAAGGGACGTATAAGAACTGATAAATAACAGACATGAATCGATGGTCCACCGCACAAAACTGATGATGAATAAAACGAGGTTTCCCTGGTTATAACTGTCATATATTTTCCTGCATTTCAAGTGTAAGGACCTTCTGAAACTTTGATAGTTTGAGTTAATGATCCACATATCATGGAGTGTCGCGTTAGAGCCCGCCTGCAGTATCAAGCGGCCGTGATCCAGGCACGTATTGACCTGTTGGATGCGAATGTAGATATTGTCGCTTATGAAAATAGGAGAAGAAGGAGGCGACTGCGGAGGTGGTGGTCAAAGGCTTGGCTGGGTCCTGAGAGACGTCGAATGTTTGGTCTCTACGATCAACTCATGATGGAGCTGCGGAGAGAAGACCAGCGGTCATTTACGAACTTCATGAGGATGCCTCCTGAGATGTTTGATGAGATTCTGGAACGAGTGGGTCCCAGAATAACAAAACAATATACCACATACAGAACCCCTCTTGACCCTGGAATGAAGTTAGCCGTTACACTCAGACATCTTGCGTCAGGGTCAAAGTATTCCAACATGCGGTTTGCCTGGAGGATACCTCACAACACCATCTCTGTCATCGTGCGAGAAGTAAATATTTTTATTTTCCCATGATTCTGAATGATAACTCGAACAATTACATGTATATAATTTCTGGTCTTTTAAAATATCAATAATTTGCTTACATGATTATTTCTACTTTTAAAATCGCATTTTTATTTACATTTTCAGGTGTGCAGAGCAATTATAGACGAGTATGTGGACGAGGTCATGCCTTTGCCAACAACAGCTGCTGACTGGAAACGCATTTCAGATGGCTTCTTGGAAAAATGGAACTTTCCTCACACTTTGGGTGCGTTGGATGGCAAGCATATTGCCTGTAAGTGTCCAACTAGTTCCGGGTCCACATATTTCAACTATAAGAAGTACTACTCCATTGTCCTGCTGGCCCTCGTTGACTACGACTACAAGTTCATTTGGGCCGACATCGGAGGCCGCGGTGCAAAAAAAATCGGACTATTTATACCAGTTTTGTCCGTCACGTGACCGGTAGAAATACGCTCTTCGAACGTTCAAAGAACGTTTTGTCAGTTCTTCATGCGCTGCGTGTACGTTTTGTGCGGTACAAATCCGTTACTAGTACGGTGAAGTCCGTTAACTGTATGTCTTTCATCCGTTATATGTGCGTTGATCGTTCGGTCTTTGTGCGTTTTGTACGTTTTATGCGCCCTTACAGCGATCATGAGAGCACCGAGCAGCAACGGGAAATGCTTTTCATCACCGGATAACTTTCAGCCGCATTTTTCTTTGCGTTTGGCGTCCGTTAACGCTATACGGTGTAGTGTGACTGAAGCTTTAAGTGTCTAGAGGTACTGCTCAAAATCTGTAGTGAGTTAATTTCATACTTTTTTTCTAAGTCATCATTCCTTCCTTCAATGATCTACAGCCAGTCATAATATACATATAATTAATATTTTCCTAAAATTTCAGTTACTGTATATCAATAGCCTAGGATGGAGAGTTTGAATACTTACATATCCCATGTTTCATTCTGTAAGTAATGACGTGCTGAAGGACTAGGTGTTCTTTGTATCACATATGTTGTCTTTTCTAAAGTTCTTGTTTCTCTGAAATTTATTAAGAAAATAATGACAAAACAGAAAACTAAAACTTTTTCTAAATGATTTTTTTATAATAATAAAAATGGCCAGAATGTAAATTGCATTGGTCTTTAGACTAAGTAATTTACTACTAACTATGAATATCAGCAAGTCTAAGGCATGTCATAATTTAAGCATAGCTGTAAATGAAAGTGTGATGGTACAAATATTTTCTTTCAAATTGTCTTTCCATTATTAACATTAACCAGGCACCATAGTAATTACTTACTTGGTATAAATTGTGCAAGAAAGTACACACAATGTGGAAAGATCATAAATTAACAATCTATGAACATGACTGTGTACAGTCATATACAGATATATGTAATTTGCAAGCCTGTGATACCAGAACATTTTAACCAAATTGAACAAATCAGTGACGAGCCTGTGCAAATATAGAAACAATTTAAATAATTTAAATTTTACTTCTAGGTACATGTATAAAGCTTAATGGGATCTGAATTAGAACTTGCACATCACATTTTTTAAAGGTTTAGATTTAATGTAGAAAAATGATTTGAAGAGTCTTTAGGAATAATCCATCCATGAAAACTTTTACCTCACAATGCCCATGGAGACCTGTTTATTTTATCATTCAGTTTTATAATTATAACTCAATAAAATCAATGAAAATATGAGACGGCAAAAGGTCTGGCCAATTCAAATTACATGAAGATGATGCTTAAATATTTTTTTAATCTATAATGCATGAAAACAAAAGAAAAACAATGCTCCAACACCAATGAAAAAAGCAATCCATTTAAATAGTGCAATCAATAATGTCTGGAATGTACCTGCGATTCATCCTTATTGGATGAAATTTCATACAACACATCTCAAGCATTAAATATTGACGCTGTTTCAATTGTAATATAGATCAATAACATTCTCTTCAGTATCATTTGATTAATAAAAAAACCTGACGACTATGAACATTATTAGCATTCATATCATATAAAGACCATACATTGTAGGACAGTGGTGGTGAGTGCTGACAAAAGTATTAACCCGGACTTAACCTGTTTGAACTGAAAGGGATTTTATACATTTACAAGTCTTTGCAAAATTTGCCACCGGTACACTCATGTAGAGCCAGGCAAGTCTATTGAGACCAGACTCTGTATTGTTGATAGCAACACTTTTGCATTTGGAGTGGGAAATCTGATATTAAAATTCCTTGATCTTTGAATGGACTTACAATTCCAAATACAAAGCTAGTTTAACTGAAATCCATTGCAAAATAATTTCTGCTTAGTATGACTATGAGTTAATCCTTGCCAACAGAATTATATTCATAAATATATTGCCCAACACTGAGAAATTGGAATGCTGCGATTTCATTTTGATTGAGCCTATTCATGTACAGAGGTGGACTTCTTTTGCTTGTTTTTGGTTTTTGATGAAAATAATAACAAAATCATAATTTTTGTCATTATGCAAGCTATATTCCCCCCCCCCCCCCAGCACAGGCTAAAGCATAGTTTAACATTTTAAGTGACATTATCCTCATTTTATCACAAACAATATTCACCATGCATTGTAACAATGATGAAATTAAATATTTAAAACATAGTAAACACAATAATTGTTAATTCATGGCAACAAATAACTGATTCATTTTCTCCAATCAATGGGCCTCCTTTTTAATTCTTTCCAGAGACACAGAGCTCAAGCTTATTCACAGGTGGCAAAGATTTGTTATCATAGATTTGATATTTAATTTATACAGGGAAACTACCTTATTTAGTACTAAAGCAAAAGGCATCGCAACTGGTAAATTTATATAAATTGATGATTTTGCATATTTATGCATGGGGCTGATAGTGGTAATGCAAAATGAGACTAACTAAAAATGTCACAAATAATTATTAGTATTTGATGGATTTTTTTCTCAACAAAACCAGTCATATTAATTACAATAATATTGGCTTTATAAGAGAGTCTCTATTTATCTTCTGTTTACTATAAAATGTTGTTCAGTGACAGTAATTGTGCAACAATGCTCCAGAGGTGCCCAGCAATTAACCCAGAAGAAGGGAAAGAACTTAAACTAACTACTTATAGTCCTACTATCATATGGGGAAGTCAAAGCCCAGGCCTGTTTTAGCTTGCCTGGCTATACATGTGTAGACTACTATATTCATAAGGAAATCAAAATCAAATACATAAACAATTTAAAATCAAAGGGCTGCAGCTCTATGGTATTTTCTGATTTTTGCAATCCAAATCATACTGACTATCTGTATGTACTTTCCTGTATAAGTTTATTTTTATATACTATAATTCATCTTACGCAGCGACAGCGTTTTGATTTTCTTCTATAACAGTTTGAGATTGATACATATGGAATTTTGCATAAAAAAAAATAGAATTGCCTCGACTAGGATTTGAACCATTATAAGGCCTCTCACACCCTCAACGAGACCGCTTACCTCTGCACCACGGCGAAGTTATACATATGTACCTTGAATAAAAACGAATACATTATGTAATTCTAAATTGAGAATTTCCATTTCGTGTTTGTAATCCTTATTAATTTCGAGGTATTTTGTTCACGATAAACCTGTTGTTTAACACTGATGAAAATAATTTAGCGAAAATCTTCTCGCCAAAACAGTCTGACATGTATATATTCCACTACTCGACAGTCAGATTTATTTGTGTACTACGCTCTGGAGTATTCGGTAATCGACATAGCTAAAAATAGCATTTTCATTGATTAAAATGATATTCATGATAATCCGAAGCTTTGCGGAAATAGCCGAACATTTTTCATTGGGTAAAAAAGATATTCATCCGCGAAATTTGTGATTGTAACCTCATATTTCTGTTGACTAATCTAAACGTTTAATGCACTGTAATTCGTTAAATGCCTACATTAAAAATTATTCTTTCTTTAAAATTGCTGGTTTTTAAGCAGTTTTGAGTGAGAACTACTTTGCGTTGTTAGGACTGGTAGGAAATTTTGTGTTAGACCGTGGATGTTAGCTATGTATTTACTGATCTTACGATCAGAAAATACAAAAATGTATAGATTTCTATACATATGAGTAAAATTTTCAGTGCCATTTTTAGTTGGGCACCGCCATTTTGAATGTAACTCAATGTTAATCGGCGTGGTATTTCAATAACAGAACAATCATAAAGTTTTGGCTTGAGGTGTTCCGACTGAAAATGGAGGCAGTGGCATGAAAATACCACATGACACTTTAAAAACAAAAAAAAATGTAAAATTAAAAAAAAAAACTTTTCATCTGACTTCCCCGTACATAGGCTTTGCCTATTTTCATATAAGAGTATCATGCTTACATGTACCAATAGGCAATCCAGAACTAAAATAATAAAAGAATGTCATAGTTATTTAAAAAAAAATAGAAAAAGCAACATGAAAACTTGAAAGTCAGAAGTTGAGAAAATTTAATATACTGGCGACAAACAATAAAACAATCTACATATTCAACGGTAACTTGACAGGTCTAACTTCAGTGATTTTCCTACGATATAACAGACTCCGAAAAAAGGCCTGTTCCCAATTGAAATTTTGTTTAAAATCATGCAGTTTTCCCAAAAATCTTAACCAGCTTTTTTACTTCCCAAAATAGCAAATTTAGCGATAATTTTCCCCAAAAACAAGAGGCCAATGCCTCTCAGCTATATATAATAAAGTACCTGGGCCTCTTCCCAATAACGTGAGAAAAATCACTGAACTTAAACAAAATTGGACCGAGATTGACGAGTACGAACGTTGTATTTTTTCGAAATTGTTTGTCAACTAAATAATTATCTGCTTATATTTGAATTAAAATAATCAAGTCCGGTGATACTTCATTTAAGCATTAAAAGCAGGATGCAAATATATTTCTTTCTAAACACAAACAGACATACTAAATCTCCAAATAAGTTTTCAGCGTCTGAAATTGATCAAGATGAGACGGAAGCTTGCACTTACTCTTTTTGTATATTCGAGGACTTGTTAATGGTCTTATTCCCCTTTCCTTTAGATAATTTCCGGGGCATTATATAAAATATGTGTTAATCCATTCACTAAAATTGAAAGTTATCGTCTGTATGATGGAATGCTATACATTTAATAAAGTAAACATTAATTTGCTGCTTCTGTCAAAAAGGAAATTGATATCTCGAGCGTTTCATTGGTGGTTAAAAATATCTTTGATACGCTCTATTTGTATCGCTTGTCAATAAAACCACGTGGTTAACTGTAAATAGCTAGCACAGTTTTAATAAAAGCGGACCGTGATATTAGTAATCACTATCAATATACCATGTATAGATCTACATGTATTTATGATGATAATTTTAAATATTTTGTAAAGTGGTTTACATCGAGATCTATTTAATATAAGTCATTGAAATGTCTGATATTCATCAATATTTTTTATTTTATGTAAAAGCAGGATCTTTCAAATAAACCTGGTTAAAAATATTTTTATTGATTTTGAAACGCAATTGTCAAATTTTAAACGTACAGTTGACAATACAGTATCAAAACAATGCATCATATTCTCACCCAGGCGCAATCTGCTTAAGGGTCAAAAGATTATTATCGTCATTTCTCTAGGCAGAGCATTGATTTTCTTAATAAGATATATTTTTAACATAAAATAAAGGCAAAAATATATGCTTCCTTAATATTTAACAAAGGCTGGCTCTGAAGGAAATGGAAAAGGTATGGAATATATGTGTACGCTTCGAAAAATTGCTCATTGCCGACCTACATTTTTATCTGATCTTACAAATAGTTGTCGGAAAAAAAATAACCAAATTTACTAACGGGAACACGCAAAGCGCTTTACATTGTCATCTACATCTACATCTACATTATACTGCTAACAATCAATTCTGATTAATTATGACTAGCAGGCGCGTTGTCAGGGAACTGTTAAAAAATTATTTATATGCAAATTAAAAAGTTAAAAGAATAAAAGTTCTACAAGACTATTAATTTAAAAGACATATATAGTGTGCAGTTTAGAATTTATAGAATGGGTCAAGCCTCTCAGTAAAGATGTTTAAACTGCTGCTAGACTGAACAGTTAGGGGAAGGCTATTCCAAAGACGTATGCTCCTAGGAAAGAAAGAATTTTGATGATATTGTGTCCTCGAGTAGGGTATCAGGTAGTTCAGATTTCATGTTTGAGTAAGGTGTTGGTGGTCAACAAAAACAATGTTGTTTTGGATTTTAAACAAGTAGGTTACAGCACTGATGTTTCGACGCCGTTCAAGGGTTTGCCAATTAAGATCATTTATCATTTTTGAGACACTACTTGTATAGTCGTAATTTAATCATTAAAAATGTATCTAGCAGCTGATCCTTGTACTTGCTCTATCTTATAAATTAAGTATTTCTGCCAAGGATGCCAAACTATGGAGCAATATTCAACCTGAGGTCTAACATAGGTCTTATATATATGCAGTTTCTTTTATCTTTTTATTTGGAGTTTTAACATTTCTTCTAATGAATCTGAGGGAGTTATTTGCTTTAGATGTGATGTTGTTTATTTATTACATGCTTTTCGGTGGTTTATAGAAATATTTCAGTGATATAAAACTGTTAATTTCACTGTTTGAAACAGTGAAATTACCACTTTGATAATTTCACTGTTTTGAATTTAAGCCCCTAACGTTGTTTCAGTGAAATACCAGCGTGTACAGTACTGGGTACCAACTTAATGACGTGACGTCGTAAATGACGTCACGTTGTATTATTATTTGGCGCGCTTTTCATTCAGTATTAGGTTTAATGTCTTTTTAAAACGTTTCTTTGCATATAATAAAAAGAAAATTTGTTAAATTTAGTGTAAGATCGAAATATATTTCACCTTATGAACACCAAAAGTTCATATTTCACTCGTGGCTGCGACACTCGTGAAATATACCTTTTGGTGCTCACTCGGTGAAATATATTCCGATCTTACACTGAACTAAACAAATATCCTCTATATGTTTGGTCCATGAAAGGTCTTGACTAATAGTGACTCCTAAGTATTTCGCTTCTTGAGTTGAGTTTAGTTGGATGTTATTTTTCATGAAGAAACATTAAACGTTCTTTACGGAATAATATCTTTAAAATAACTGCAAAATGATATTCATATTTGATTTTGTGTCTCAACTCGCTGCACATGGCAATATACAGGCACATTGCCGTTATCGATCTCTTTACGTATCTATAAATTTACTGTTTTAAATAGGTGACCATATATATTACATGTAATTATAATGTTTAAGGTCCCTGAAATTTGCTTGAAGCGGCTCGAAAGATGTCGTGTGGTTGGCCACTCATAATAGTTTTTACAAGCTTTTTTGCATGTTGATACCAAAAATATGATTGCTCCATGTTTTGCAATAAATAATACATACACTGCAACTAGAACAGCGAAGCTGAACCAACCAAGACGTCAAACTCCTCACAGTGATTACCTCCCTTGGCAGAATTGTAATCACTGCCTTCAAAGACGTCACATGATGATGAAAGTCACATGACGTAACGTCGAAATTCAAATGTAAATATCGACCGTTACAAAGAAAATCTAACGTTATTTTTCTCTTTCTGTTTTATTTTTAACTTTCAGTGCCTACGTTCGATATAGTTTATCAAAAAATTATCGAAAGTATACAAAATAACGAAAAATAAATTCAAAAGCTAAAAAATATAAAATATCAAAATATCGTCTCGGTAGAAAATAATCTCATAATTTTTAAAATTATTTCTAAATATTCATATTATTTATTTATTTATTCACAAACATTGTTAAATAAATGAGAGAAAACTTATCTGATAGATAAAAGCTGTAGATAAAACAATTTTTGAAAAAATATAGTATATCAGAAATTCTGATATATCGGGACCTTGGTGGCAGAGATCTACGCCGAAGAATTAAGGGGAGATCACTGTGTGGAGATTGCCAAGACGTAGGCATGAATAATTTCCTTCCGTAAAGAACGTTTAATGTTTCTTCATGAAAAATAATCAGAAGCAGCGCATTTGCGCCAACCACATTAACTACCATGTCGTGCACGAGGAACGCAAGCGCATAGGCCACTTACGCAAGTAAGTGTGATTTATTGATTAAGTAGCTCGCAAAATATTTTGTTTTCTACATAATAATTTCAGTTCAGTATTTTTTTCTTTTATTCGGCAAAAACATAAATATGTTCATCGCCAATATAAGATATATACAATGGAGAAAACCATGAAGTCATATTAATTAATTCAAATTCTGTCGACAATAACAAAACAATGAAATACTAAAAATTATCTATAACATAATTATATAAAATAAATTCATATAACATAATTAAGTCACGCCTGATATTTTTCTCGCCAAAGACTAGCTTTGTTAACGCATTTTGCAAGTTTATTAATGACATTGTTTTGTTGGCAATTTAAGAGAGATTTGAACTTAAACAAACTTAATAAATAACTATGTTCATCGTTCAATGAAATTTAATGCTCTCTCAAAATATATAAAGCTTTTCAACATCTAAAACATAACAGCATCAAAATTGAGTTAATAATTACAATATTGATATAGATATAAGCCTGTGATTATAATAGATCTACTATAAGATAAATTGTTTGTGTCTATTGCATGTGCATTAAGTATACATTTCGTCTATTGATGTAAAAGATATATAGTTTTTATTATTTTTAATGAGTTGCCGGCGGTAATGCCATGTCAACTTGCAATAAAACTTAAAACTTTGATTATAGTTTCCCGGCCATTAAAAATTAAGTAAAAATCTTACAGGGTATAACATAAACAAACGCAATAGAAAACCTCTATAAGTGCAAAAAAGGCAAGAGAAAACCAAACAAATTCAAGTTTTAATCAATGGCCGTAAGCAGGAAAATAATACACAAAGTGCATTAAATTTTAATTCATGGGTGTAGAGATATCACGGACTTTAATCCATTTAGATAATAAAGATAATAAAAAAGGAAACACCTCAAAATGCATTTTGAATTACTACCAGCCAAAACCTTTGGTTTATTGTTTCCTTCAACATACGATACTCCTATACATGTATTATGTTCCAGATTTGAAATCTATAAGAGAGAGCTAGCTAGTACAGCAAATAATTAATGTCATTTGTAATATAATAATAATGCCTTTTATAGATAGTTTGTTTTCAGCAGGGATGTGTATCTTATATTACATATACACCCATGTCAACAGGGCTGATATTCCGTATACGTATTAATTGGGGTGAGCAGACCAGTTTTCTCTTATACACAAGTCCTGTGTTGAGCTAGTAGATTTAGATCTAGATCTATATGGTTTACTTCAATATAGCACAAATCACAGAACTGTTAATAGCGAGCTCGACAAGCTGGCCCGAAGGGCCTGCTCGCAAAGCGAGCTTTACGGTAACGCGAGTACCTGCTAAGTGATGGTTTTGAAAACTTTCGTTCGAAGTACCGAATTGGACACATCGCAACCTTTCGAATTTAAAGATAACGATAAAAACTGAGGAATTCTGACTGAAAACGGATGTGTAGACTGGTCACCCGCGCACGTCTATGGGAACCATAATAAGACAGGAAACCAGAATAACGGAAGCTGTAAAATATCGAACGGAAATGTAAAATGAAAATTGAAGGCGCCATTTTGTTTGAAAAATCTGATAAATTAAAACAATTTTTTGTCGAATTTTGTTGTGAAAACTATCTAGAATGAAAGAAAATGGTCTAACTAAGAAAATAAATCCGAACACCAATATCTTTTATTCTGTCGTTAACGCTGTACAGACGTTTAAAGTATTGTTTACGTGACGTCACAATGTAGCGCCAAACAGCACCTAATGCATTACCTCCACTTTGAAGAGTACTCAAATAGACTAGAACTACTGTCAACCGCATTGAAACTGAGGGGCGCGGGTTCAAGCCCCAAAAGAGGCAACTTTTTTTTTCTTTCTTTTTTTTTCTTTGAACATTATTTGTGTCACTCAGATCACTCTTAATAAGAAAAAAATGTTCATTATAATTATAAAATTATTATTGGTATCTTTTGGCTAAATTGTGCCAAATTTATTATCAAATATGGAACCTGATATTTTCAAAGTCTAATAACATAAAAACTAGACGGTAAAAGTATTTTATATTTGACAAGCGCATCCAATATACTTTTAAGAAAAATTTTGCAAACTTTAAAAACAGACCCAGATTTAAGTAAATTTTATTTTGAATAAGGCCCTCCAAGTAGAAAAATGATCAAACAACTACTTAAAATGGGTGAGGTAGGGTAACATTTATATACATATTTCAAACATTTTGAGTAGAAACAATAATTTTGCTGGGTCATTTGTTAGCTGAATGCTATTATTTGTTTCTAAAATATTTTCTATAGGAAAACATTATTACATAATTATTATATAATAGAATAATTAGAGTTTCTCATTTCTGAAAAAAGAGCCCTTCTAATAGCCAAGTTTTACTTTAGAAACATCTTCATAACTCATAAACCATACGGTAAACTTTGTTTAAATTTTGCATTCTTGTGTCTTTAAAGGTATATAACTGACCTATGTTGTCAATTTTATAGTTCCTTATAGTGCTCATTAGGGGGCTCATACCTTAATGTCGCAAACATTTTAAGTTTTACGTTTATTTCACTTTTAATAATCTTTATTTCGCTTGAAAAATTATAGAGTGAAATAAAATAAACAAAGTTTTATCAACGTTTTCAAAACTCGTTATTCATTTAACGACAGGGGCGGAGCCATATTTAACACAGTACGTGTAACGTCACACGCACTCGTCACTGCATTTGAAATAAAAATGAGCGATAATTTCATACTATTTCACGTTAAAAGTACATCGAGCTCGCTTTGAGGCTTTGCCTTTTTCATATTATTTTGATAGGGTTCTGACATCCCTTTATAGGAATGTGAAGATGGTCAATGAATACATTTAAAGTTTGAATCATTATATTTTTCTACTGAGTTAAATTTGTTCTAATTTCCAGGGGAAGTAACCGCGTTAAGCGTTTTGGTAAGCAAAATTTGATATATCAAAACTGAAATAAATTATAGCCCATTGCAGACCGTTTAATATTTTTGTTCAGTTTCTTTATAAAGTAAATAAAGAATAAATGTTTTATTCTTTTAAGAACCGTATATTGAACAGCCGGATATAGTACTCAGGTACCCTTTTTCGGTTAGTCGAGACGACATCGGCAAAATAAGTAGTCGTAAAATAAATTATTTATTCAATTTTCAATGTTGTAAGCAGCTAGATATTGCTTGTCAAAATTTTCACGGGACACTGAATCACTTTTATGTGTCTATTTTTACTACTTCCTGAACAAAAGACGAAGAAATGTTTGGATCTCGTTCCTCATTTGACAAACTATTAGGTAACGTCTTCGAGTTTGTTCGATATTTTTTGAAGAATTTTGAGAAATAACTGTGGAAAGGTTACCAGATTATGCATATCACGGTGTCCTTTATAAAAATTTATTCAAGTCATTGTTTACTTAGTGGTAGATTTTTCACACCTGTAGCAGGGTAAGCAGTTCACACTCATATACATAAATGAAAAAAATAGGGTCATGTTCATACTTTTGTATTTTGTTTAGCAGTGAGTACGTCTTGCCATTTCCTTTTGTTCATTAATCATTATGCACTTTGTTGAGGTACATGTAGCTTAAGGTCAGTGTAACTTTTTATATATTTTGACGTTACTGCTGAAGACGGATCCATAGGGAAAGTCCACTATTAGTTGTGCCAGCAATTTGACTCTCTCATATTCATTAAATCCAGCACGCCATGTAGTAATTGAAGCATAGCCTGATAAAACAAAGTATAATCTGTTGATAAACCTGGTGAAAAAAAATTGGAATGTATTAAATCTACGCTAAACTTGTTAATTGCCCTGGAAACTAAACCTATCCTGTTGCTACCATCTCCTGAGCGGTAACATCTAGACTTACAATCAATTAGGCCATAGATATAAACAACGGATAGGAAACTCCGAAAATAGACTATAGTTCGATTCAGACCCACAATCCTTTGCACCCTTCGGTAATAATCGGGCTTTCTCGCTAGTCTCCGATTTTCATGCTTTCATTTAACAGAAAAAAAAACTTTGGCGGTATCCGTGAATTTTTGCTTACATTACCAACATGGATTTTCATCGGAGAAATATTTGTGTGGAAAAGACAGTGTGTTTTGTACGTTTTAGAATAAATAACTATTGCTTCTTATATATTATATAATAATATAAGTATAAAATGTTTAGTAATTTTTGTTGATGTACCTCCGGGAATTCAATATGGCGGTATTTTGGCTACTTTTACCCAGGATGCATCAAATTGCGCAAAATCTCGCGACATATGATAACTTGCGGGAACATAATTCCGCTGTACTGATTTTATCTGTGTGTCATCACAGTGAGTCTCTTCTCATCCATCTTATATTTAGCTCCATGATTAAGCTGATTTTAACTGTGTGACGTCACAGTCTCTTCTCCATCTTATATTTAGCTCCATGATTAAGCCCATTGAATACTCCAGTGACTGCAATATGACATGAAAATAAATGAAAACTTTGTATGCTTTGCTTTATGTAACTGTAGAAAACTTGATTTAAATATAAATAATTTCCTATTTCTTCATGTTATCCATACACTATAAATGAATTGGTTCAATAATTGGTAGCAAGTGGTCATTTTTTTTTACGAATCAAGTACCCCAGTCTGTTACAACAGTCATTTACAAAGGTCATGATTACAAATTTTAAGTACCAGAACAAAGTACATGCCTCTACAATAGAGAACTTGACTTAATTTAAAGAAATTGAGAAACCTAACAAGAATTACAATTAATTACTATTATTGTTTGAGATATGGTCCGATGAGGCTATCGGTCAGGCTATTTAGTAATCAAAGTAATACCAGTATGAACAGTGCCAGGTTTTATACTGAAATCCTTGGCAGGTCTCTGTTTATCTGATTTCTCAGTCAATTTTCAGATTAAAATGTGACTAAACTTGACTTTGACTTTGGCATATAAAAATATATAATTTATGTTTTCAAATATTAGTAAATGTTGTTAATCCCCTCTTGGTTCTACAACTTAAGGCTATAGTTTTATGGTTATAATATTGAAGCTATCAAATATCATTAACATTGATATTTGTTTATTTTCAATAATTAAATTTATAAATCAGACTTGTATATCTATTACAGAAAAAGCTACAAGTCAGCTGCTGTTGGAACCAGATTGGGATTCAATTCTTCAAATCTCAGATTGTATAAGACAGGGGGATGTACAGTAAGTAACATTTCTGTTTAGTAGGTCAGTGTTAATACTTAAAGTTATAAAAATTGCTTATGATTCTGAATGTCTCGATATGTACTTATATGACAAAAATATTCTTTCATGTATTTACAGTGTAATACATCGCTTCCATTCAGTTTCAAAATTTGGAAGTCAGAGACTGCAAAATCTTTGATTTTGGAAGTCACATTATGATTATATAGGTAAAGAAGAAAAAGTATTAGATTTTAGTAATAGGAATGTTAAGTTTGTTCAAGATCTTAAATAATATCTGGCCTAATAGGACAGACCAATTGACATCTCTGTGTAATATACAAACATGTGCAGAACTGCAATTTATGCTTGCATAACCTTTTCTTCCTTTGTTTTAGGCCAAAAGGTGCAATAAATAGCATAAAGCGTAAGATTGGGACTGAGAATCCACATGTGTCCTTGTATGCTCTCCAGGTAAGTAAAGTTTCATTAAGTATCTGGTTTTCAAATGTATACACATACATACACTTTGGAATTAACTCTGCTTCAGGTGTCTTTCATTCATAACAACAAGAGCTCAGAACAATATTGTAGTGGTCTCCCTGTTAAGGTGTTTATGGAAGCTAATGTCAACTCACTAATCCCTCACTGCTGTGGGTTTGAATTCTTTCAGTGACTTCCTTAAGTATGGGAAGCTGTGGCTTAGTGGTAAAGGTGTCTGCCTCTCAACCCAGAGATCATAGGTTTGAGCCCTACTCGGATCACAACCATGCTTCTTCATATGTACTGGTTGGTTCCAGGATGCCGACTCGAAAGTGATTAATATAAGTTGCAAGAACTTATTTCGCAATCAAGCATAAATAAATATGGTTAAACCAAATACGATGAAGCTATCCATTTAGCTGAAGTGTGTTTTTTTATGAATCTGATTTATAATGAATTTCTTGACCCTGTTAAATAATGTGTATAATGTTTTTTTTCAGGTATTGGAATCTTGTATGAAAAACTGTGGATCACTGGTCCATGATGAAGTAGCTTCCAAGGAGTTTATGGAATTTTTGAAGAATCTTGTTTCTGTGAGTTGTTTAATTTTTGATACAAATGTAATCTTCTTTTGCTCTAATGGTCATTTTGTTATCTTAGTGCAGTAAAAGGCTATCTGCTGTTTTGAAGCAAAAACAGTTAACCTGTTACTGCACTAGGGTGATAAAATTGTGTCCCTTACCTCGGGTTGGATTAGTAGTGAGTCATTTGCAGAGATATTTGTAAATTATAATTATTATTACTAGTTTGTTATCAGTCAGGTGAATCAACTTCTGAGACATGAGAAAAGTGTTAAAATCCTAGTACATGTAGTAGAAGCCAGAAAACCAAAACAAAAATTACACTAAAACAACAAACTTATTAAGTTAAAGATGATCATAGCAATATGGGTTAGGTTTAGTGTATGTGAAAATGAATCAGGCCAGCTAAAGTATCCTCTCCTTGGCTGCTTAATTCTAATATTTAATATCAAAATTCATTAAACAACTTTGTAAAATATTTAAAAAGAAAACAGACCCCAAACAGACCATGAAGTTATGATGGGAATTGAAAGTATTATATTCATGCTTGATTTTGAATAAAAAGGAATGAAAATAGGATATAAACCTATGTCTATAAAATTTATTTGCAATAAAAATATGTTGTTTCCCTAATGTTATAGTTCATTATCAACTGAATTGTAATATAGAATGTCTCTGAATATTATATGTTAATAGAATAAAGAGTTTTAGAACAAAATATTATTCTTATATAAGTAGGGTTTTAACAGTTCAGCATGCACCTTTGGTTTTTATGGAAATATACAAACATATTTTTATTCATACAGCTATTTTGGAAGTATCCTTTTTTTTTTCAAAATTAAAACAATAATTTTTGTAAATCACAGATAGCAGATATAAAGTTTTATACAGTTTAAGTAATAAATAACTGTCATAATGTGTTTTTAATAAAATGCTTATTCCAGTATGTTCTTTTAGAAGCAAATGCTATCATTGGAATGTTCTATAATGTTTTGTTTAAATGTAGACAAGAGGAGATCCAGTGAAAGGGAAGATTTTAGAATTGGTACAAGTGTGGAGTCACGCATTTAGAAACGAGTCCAGGTATAAAGTGGTGCAAGATACATTTAATCTTCTGAAGCTAGAAGGTAATAAATTCTATATTATATGGTTTGTAGAAATTATATCATGTGTTTAGTTTTTGCTCAAGTCTCAGTATCACTTTAACAAGTATATTTTATGTAACTTCTCTAGAAGTATTACCTGTTGTATTAATAGCTGTAAAGATTTTTTACAGTTTAAATGTCACAGTTTAAATTGTTATAAAGTTTATATAACCTTCATTGCTATTAGAGGATAATTATAACAAGCAAAATTTTATACATGGCAATATAACCTTTCAAAGGTCTTTACAACAAATGTATTATACTTAAGGTGACAACAGACACTTTCCGTGGTAATCACATAAATGTCATTTAAACCAACTTATTTTAGTAATAATTGTTATTTATTTAATCTTTGTGCATTAAATGTCGTTGATCATCATAAAAAATAACATATTTGAAAAAAATGTCTTTGTAAATGATTGATTTTTAATAAAAATCCTAAAATTTTAAATCGTCATATCAAAGTCATTTTTTATTTTTTTGTCATCAAACTTTTGGAAAATAAACATACTAATAATATCTGGGGAACCGTGTCTCAAATTTTGTCTATCTTTTCTCAAAAAAATATTACGTAACGTCAAACATTTTATGCGACTTTTTTCACCATACATATTACGTAATTAAAGGTAATTAAGTCGCTGATTGAGCAAACAAAAATCCCTGACACGGTTCCCTCCGTAAATGAATTCCCTTTCATGTGCTTTAAACCGCATGTTAATTGCTTGATTATTAAAAAAGTTATGCCGATTCAAAGTTAGTCCGATCCGCATCAAACGAAGTGTCATAAATTGGCTGTTCTTTCTCGGACCCCTACGTTTCACGCTAAATAATTACATAATACACAAATATCGCACCAGAGAGGGTCACAAGTTGCGGTAACATACACTAACAACATTTTATGACCCAGTGACATCTGACCAATTAAAAAGTTGCTGATTAATATCAGTTTATAACAGAAATTTCTTCACATCTTAACGTGATTTACCGTTAGTCTGGTATCGGTTGCACATGTCACGTGACTTTCGGTAAAATTTGAGGCACTCGGTGGGGGGAAATGGGACGTATTTGTGCACCGCTAGCGGGGTATTTAATTGTTTCACATTTGAAGTTTATTATTATTATCATCAGCATTATTATTATATTATACCAGTGTCACTCTATCTGTGTACTCGTGTATGAAATTCCGTTAAAATATAAATTAAAATAACAAAAAAACTGAGCTTCTGACAGTATTTTAAAGTCCATGGTAGATGTACAAATAAGAACGGGATTTTATATATTTTTTCCTCCAAATTGATATAAATGCTTCACATATTTTAATAGAAATAAAAGGTATCACTCGATCATTATGATCTGACCTTCTTGACTTCTATTATCATGAAAATCATCTATGCACGGCATAGAGATCCAGTTTCTACTGGGATATACAATAAATTCCAAACTTTCTCCCAGGTTTATTAGTACTGTGTTCGATTTACTAGCGAACCATTTATTCAAAGCATTCACTGATAATTTATTTTATTATCTTTTTTTATTGATTCATAGAGAAATAATCATCCTTAGACAACCTAAAATGGTTTAGAAATTTGTCAGGGAGACCTTACCACAAGTCATTTAGGCGTTCACATAAAAAATGTTGTCTGTTTTTGTTGTTGTTTTACTTGACATTGTTAGAAAACGAGGTTGAATGTAAAGCAAGCCCTTGAATCCGTACAAAAGTCCATAAACTCAATGTAATATCTATCAGATTAACGGGACAGACAAATTATTTTCACACATTATGGATATTTTAGCAACTATATTTTTAATCAACCCCGTGGTCGTGCGATTTATCGCTATGCTTAATTATTTATGTTTCATACATTATGTTACGTACATTGGCCGACAATTTCTTATTTTATAAAAAAGGCTAAATAAAAGGTAGACGATATTCATAAAAGATGTACGGTATTTGTACGATACATGAATTACGAGTAGTATGGACCAGTATGGACCGGTAATTCACGCATATATGGAACTACCGATTTCCCTCATTGATGCCTCAACAGGGGGCGGAGCGTTATCGATAATTGACAGGTTACGCGATAGCAGATAAAAATAGTACAGGTACCGTTTTAAAACGTTTAAAAAACACATTTTTTGGACTAACTGCTTCCAAAATTAAATCACGAATGTGTTCAGAAAAGGTTGATAAATATACTAAGCAAAAAATCTCATTTTAGGTATTTTCAGTGATAATTGACTCCGTTGTCACCTTAACAAGTGTGTGCTTTCAGTTAAACAGTTAAATTTGAATAACATCAGCTTTGTTTAATAATAAACATGTTAAGATTATCGTTTGAAAATCAAAATATTTTAGATGTATGTTACCTTTGGGTATTTGCAGTTAAATTAAAGTAACAACAAATCCAAATAGGTTTTGGTTCGTATGATATATAATTTATTAAAAGTTCACTGTCACTGTGTAATCTGATATTAAATCACATTAATATATAAAACCACTCTACTGTTATTCAAACCAGAAAGTTCCTTTCAGGTATACTGTCAATAACACAGTTCCACTTGTTGCTCAATCTCAAATAATCTGAATCAACAATAGTTAACAAGTCTGCACACTGAAATACACATTAAATGTCACTAAATGTATTATCATTTAATGTTATACTTTTCCAAGGTTATCTCCCTTCAATCTACATTATTACATATAAAACACATCTCATCATAATATTCAATACACAGTATCTGATACTTATTATTAAGTGGTTCTAGTGGCGTTCATTATTACATATCTTATAGGATGCCTTAATAATAATATCATCAAGTTACATTAAAATACATGACACTTACATTATATACAATAATTACAATAAATATATGATTATCTTTAAAGTTACAATAATCACTTAGGCACAATAACATACTATTACAATATACAATTATGACTTACCAATTTGTGGAATTGTATGCTTTACAATCAACATATCAAACACCTAACTACAATGTACACCTGGCAATCAACACATCATTCACACAGTGACTGGGTGCTGTAAATTATGTAAAGAAAGAATGCATATTATATATAACAATGTGCATCATAGATATGAGTTAAGTGATGTTAAATAAGGAATGCTATTTCTGAACCATCTCAATTCTTTACACAAAAGGGATAATCTAAACACATGAAAATCATGAATTTACTTTCCAAATAACATAAATATTGTTTACATGGAATATAGAAGTTATTGTCCTACAATGATCTTTAAAACATACCATAATATTAATCCAATATCCTTAAAACATATTAAAATATATCTGGCCTCCAAAAATTCAACTTTTCTCAAACTTTAGACTTTTTAACTCACTCAAAAGTCATGAACTCAATACACACTTGGAGGGAAATTCAAAACGATGATCTGATTGGCTAAAAATGATACAAGGGAAGTAACTGGAATGAACTCAACTTAGTTCAATGCACGAAAAGATGACCCTGTTACATGTAATTGTATGTAAGGTACTGTTATGGACTTCAAGACATATTATAAAGTTAAAATAGTGGACTATGCAATAGTTAACATCAATATCTGTTTAAACATGTTCGTGTTTTACTGTAATCTCCAGTTTTTAGTACTGTTGAATGTAGAATTCTGAATGGAATCGATAGGACATTTAACTTTAAAAAACAACCTAGTTAATATATCAGGATAAACTTTTTGTTCTGTGTAATCATGCTATATGTTGTTTACTATATATTGCAGGATATAGTTTTCCGCAGTTGAAGGAATCTGACGCAATGTTTTCTGCAGAGAAAGCTCCGGAATGGAAGGATGCTGATTGTTGTTCTAGATGTAGGACAACATTTGGTATGGTTCAGAGAAAGGTATTATATTTCAATGATATTGTTAACTTGTAATTATATCGACAAGGATATATTGAAGTGTTGTTGTTGTTTGTGTGATAAATAAAGCCTGATACCTCTGTTGCAGTTATATAGACATGGTTGCTGAGACTGCTATGAGTTCCAATGTTATGAAAAGAAAAAGTCCAGCTTGATAGTAAATGATCAAAGGTTTCTTCTCAAGGCTATTGCTATTTTAACAGACAGAAGAACTTTCACATTTGTTGAAGTTTTGGATAATTCTTTCTTTCATCCATAGTTAAGAATATATTTTTGTTATGTAATTTATGTTACATATTGAAAGAATATTGCACCATAGATTATTTCTACATTATGTAAGAAACTAGCTAGATTACTTTTACAAATTTTAATTTGATTTTTTTCCACATTATGTAAGAAACTAGCTAGATTACTTTTACAAATTTTAATTTGATTTTTATATTGACAGCATCATTGTAGAGCCTGTGGAGATGTTGTATGCCAGAAATGTTCCTCCAAGAATTCCATCATTCCCAAGTTTGGTATAGAGAGGGAAGTAAGAGTGTGTGATTCTTGTTATGATAAAATCAACAAGTAGGTTATATTGTTATAATAACAACCACATGTTTACAGACACTTGCATAAAATATGAAAATAATTTGGCAAAATAATATTAAACTACAGTTATGTTACTATACATGTATTTAAACCTGTATTGTGCATGATTTTCTTCTCAATATAAAATAAAAGTCACTAAACCATTGAGTACTTAACATGTGGGTGCAGGCCTACAGATATTCAATCTACTTTCTTGGCATATAATATAGAGTAGTGAAATTAACACACATTTGCAGAGAATTGCTTATTAAACATTAAGGGTTGGCATATATTGTTTGTAATTTCAGGGCAGCTGGAGCTGGTAAGTCAGAGGATGACCTGCCAGCTGAATATCTGAACAGCCCGCTAGCTAAACAGTCTCAGGTAAAAGTCTACATTAATAACTGACTTCTGAACTATGCAGATCAGTATGTTTTGATGAATCTTTTAATCATTATTGTGTATTTTCAAACTCTGGTGATAGTTTGTTATATGTTTATTAAGTATGAGACTGTAATGCTGATAGGACCCTTCACAAATTAAACCAAGTGGTATTGAAGATTTTTCTATACTGTATAAACAAATACTGGTATAAAATATGTTACATGTCACTCATACCTCACTGTTTCTTTTTGAATTCTGCTCAGCTTTAAATTATCTTTTTGCATATGAAGCTATCCTCATTTAAATGGCAGGTTTTCTTATTAAGGTAATTACCTCAGAGATCTGCCAAGAATTTGAAAGTACTGGGCCCTGGGCCCACTTGGTCTGAAAATGATGGGCCATTTTTACCAAAGTATGGGCCTTGGGAAAATAAATAAACATTGACCAAAATAACTGTTAAAAAGTTTGTAGATAATTGAATTTCCCTGGTAATAAAACATAAATCATATTTTATAACAAGTGGTTCACTTATAATTCAGTACTTAACCAATAATTAAAAATTATGCCTACATGGTAACTTTCTAACTAATATTAATTGCAGGCACAATATTTTTTAAATGGCTGCTCAAAAATTTGATATGCAAATTTTTTCACATAATTGCTGGTTTTTATTTGTAATGTCTTATATTGTGCATTATCAATTTAATTGTTCCTACTTTGCACCAAATGTCCCTTACCACTGTATATTGACGAATTTTATTGCCCCTTGTATGCCTCTGTGTAGACAGCATACATCAAAGACATTTGCCGACAGACCTTTTGATTATGAAAAAAGTCATGCACAATGTTTCTCTGATTGGTTAATCACCCTGTCAAATATTCTGATGACGAAATATACATCTTTTTTTACACTTCATCAGCCAAAACTTGCGTGAACTTGAGTGACCTTAGGGTTGATCAAGTTGAACACCTGTCAGATTATACTGTAACTTACAGCATTTCTTAAAATAGCAACACTTTTTTCATTTACCGATAATCATTTTAAATTTATTTGTTTGTTTGTTTCATTGGATTAAATTTACGGTATTAGAAATGAGTAACTGTGTGGGAAAGAGAGTATGAGAAGAAATGCAGTAAGTAGATTACATGGACAAAAGCTATAGGGGAATGGATAAACTCAAGAATATGCGTAATTACAGGAGCATGGGTAACATGTTGCTAATGGTACCAGTTTTGACTGGATGACTAATTAACCCAGCAGACAGTTTTGTTTTCTTATAAGTCTGGCACAGATTTTAGATGCGCCTATGGCCCTTTGCTGCCGATTTTCCTGCGCCATTCTCATTTTTTTAGCGCCAATGGCGCAAAATCCCGTCCTCGGCAGATCTCTGTTACCTATATATTTTATGTAATGTATTAAGGCCAGTTCTATTTGGAACTTGATTTTTTTTTATCCAAGAAGCTTGGAGATTTACAGGTTTAATTTTTTCTTACATTCTTACTGACTATATTCTATGAAATGAATTAAGGCTGGTTTCAGTGTCCACCCTTGATATTAAAAGAAATAGCCTGATCTGAAATTTTAACTTTGAGAAAATTCAAACAGAGTGAAAATGTAGATAGTCTGATGCATTGTCAACATGGAGCATAGCTGAATGGAAAACTATGTGATGTGTATATTGAATGAGTTATGATAGAGATAGTTATATTTTAGACACCACCACAGATCTAGTTATGATAGAGATAGTTATATTTTAGACACCACCACAGAACTAGTTATGATAGAGATAGTTATATTTTAGACACCACCACAGATCTAGTTATGATAGAGATAGTTATATTTTAGACACCACCACAGATCTAGTTATGATAGAGATAGTTATATTTTAGACACCACCACAGAAATAGTTATGATAGAGATAGTTATATTTTAGACACCACCACAGATCTAGTTATGATAGAGATAGTTATATTTTAGACACCACCACAGATCTAGTTATGATAGAGATAGTTATATTTTAGACACCACCATAGATCTAGTTATGATAGAGATAGTTATATTTTAGACACCACCATAGATCTAGTTATGATAGAGATAGTTATATTTTAGACACCACCACAGAAGACTGAAGCTGAGATACAAGAAGAAGAGGAACTACAACTGGCCATTGCATTGTCAAAAAGTGAGGAGGAAAATAAAGCTAAAGAGGTAAGTCATCTTACTGATAATTTATGATTTGTTTCAGGTGAAGTATCTTTAGACCAACTCAAAAACATAACAATAAAATGTAAACATGTATTTTATATATTTCATATAAAAAGGAAAGCGATCTTAGTTACAATATTTTACATGTTTCATGATGTAGAGAAAATCAAAAAATATTTCACTGCTTACTCAAGCACATTGAATTGGGCTGAACTTCTAATTATGGATAAAATTGTTTCACTAATGCGAATTTCTTGTGCAGTTATATTAATGTTCACTATTATAACAGAGAGAAAGAATGCGCAGCACATATGGTATATATGGGAGTGTTAACAAGGACACTAATAGGTCAACATCGCCAGCAGGGCCTCCACCACAACAACAAGCACCTGCTGTAAGTTTTTAATGTCAAATTCATAAATCGGCACTAAGGGCTTTACTTTTAACAAAAGACATTCTATTTGCTTGCTATGGTATAGCTAACATTTCAGTAACAAGTTTTGATGACGCTAAACTTCCATAATTGATTCTTACTATGTATAAAGAGAATTTAGCTGTTACCTGTATGAAATGGAAAGCAACAAATAACAAAGCAATAATCTATGATGTTTTGACTGAAAGGTACACAATAGTTTGGAAGTTAAAACAATTTAAATAAGATTTTCTTCTGATAATCAAAGCATATATTTCTATTGAACTGTAATGGCATTATGATTATTGTCCATACAACAGAATGTGTCGGCACCAATGATTGACACGGCTGACATTGATCCGGAACTAGCTCGATATCTCAACCGTAACTACTGGCAACAGAAGTCTGAGACTATCAAAACTACTACAACAACATCAACAACTCAGCCCTCAGCACCAGTAGCCCAGCAGGTAGAGCCAAAAAACACCCAAGGTGGTGGGAAAGTTCAAGAGGTAAATGTCTAAGTAAACAAGAGATCAAAGTTTCTCAAGATATTATTCACAGCATTAAGTACAAACTGGAGCTGGCATTATTACAATTACTGATTCTTGGGTTCTTTAAACTTAAAGTTTAGCGGGGTTTGAACTTAAAGTTCAGCAAGGTTTGACTGTAAATCATTGAAATCATGGAGTCACAGTCTTGCAGCAAGTGATTCAAAAGAGTAGTTTAGATGTTCTTATAAAAAAGTGTGAATATTAATTGCTTTCCTTACCATATGTAGTAGGGGAATTTATTGAATAGTTTTAGTTTGTCCTTAAATAGCATATTTTTTGTTTATTTTTCATGTCTAGGAAAATTGTGTATGGTAACTGCCTACAGGTATATATGTTCGAAAATAATATTGCATTTACTCTATATACACTTGAAATAGAAACTAATGATGGACATATTTTTAGTATTATATTTGAGCGGCGTCACGACAAAACCAACATAGTGCGTTTGCGATCAGCATGGATCCAGACAAGCCTGCGCATCCGCACAGTCTGATCTGGATCCATGCTGTTTGTTATTAGTTTTTCTACTTGTAGAAGGGTTGGTAAGCGAACAGCATGGATCCTGATCAGACTGGGCGGATGCACAGGCTTGTCTGGATCCATGCTGATCTTAAACGCAATATGTTGGTTTTGTCGTGAGGCCGCTCAAATATAATAATTTTGTCATGGGGCGGCTTATATTTGTTCTATATTTAAACCAGGCTTATCAGAATGGTGAGACTGAGGAAGATCCTGACCAGTTTTTGAATGCCCTCAATAGAAGTGTTGAGATCTTCGTAAACCGAATGCGTAGTAACTCTCAGAGAGGCCGTAGTATAGCAGTGGATTCTTCTGTACAGTCATTGTTCAATGTCATATCTAACATGCACCCTCAGTTGATGAAATATGTCGGTCAACAAGAAGATCTAAGGGGTAAATATTTTAAGATTAACATTAATTGGTATAATATGATCAGTTGTGTGAAATAAAATACAAAAACTCTTTTATACGATAGGGATCATGCTAAAATGTTGCTCAATATCTATTTCTTTGTTGGTTATAAAGATTTACTTACCCAGCGTCAATATCCTGCCTATGGTTATGCATGATGTGTTGATTATGTAAGCAAACTCTCCTTCATATGTTCTCATATTGTAGGCAAAGAAAAGAGAACATTAAATTTTTTTGTTATCTTAATGATTGAGTAGGATATATATATTTAGCTGTTGCTTTTTATGACCATTCAAACCGCCTCCGTGGGGTTAGAGTGGATGACTTCTAATCCAGTTACCTCTCTGGCATGGGATGATCCCCGGGAGATGCTTTGGTAGCTTAGCATGGAGGAAGGTAGTGCTGGTGTAACTCTCCAGGAACGATGGTTAGGAAACTACCCGCCTATTTGGCTGAAATACTGTTGGGAAAAGGCATAAAATGAAACAAACAAACAAACAAACAATCATTCAATAACAGTCATTTTCTTCAGTCAAACCTGATCAAACAGTGGTTAAAATGAAGGCTATCTGTAGATGATAATGATGTAAAAACTTATGTTTTCATCACATATTTGACTGTAATAGACTTATATATTAATGATAATTTGTTAATAAAACTTTGATGGTTTATCAAACAGCTCAGTACGAGTCACTACAAGACAAACTAGCACAGCTTAGAGATGCTCGTGAAGCACTAGATGCATTGAGGGAGGATCACAGGGAGAAAAAGAGGATAGAAATGGAGGAGCTGGAGCGCCAGAGACAGATACAGATGGCCCAGAAACTGGACATCATGAGACAGAAAAAACATGTAGGATATATCATGTTTTTTTTTCTTATTTATATTTCTTAGTTAGTTTGGCTGACACATAGTCAATGGTACTTAAACGTTTTTCCTTTCTGTATCAGGATCAAAGACATTTAACCGATATCACACTAAATATCTTAAATGAATCTGTCATTATTTCAATATGGACAAAAATAATAATCTTTGTTAAGGGTATTTCAAAATCTGTACTGACTGAACTAGTAAATACTAGTAGTGCATTTTGATGCCTTTGATAGAGATTCATGCCTGACTTTCATACTGTCTGCATGTTTCAATATTTATTAATAAGTTTATAATACAAGTTATAATCTGCCCAATCAATTGTAGTTAAAAAAAAGCTAACTAGTGACTTGCCTGTACATCTGTTACAAAGCCAGGCCAACCTGCATATCTGTGCATTCTGATCAGGTTTTACATTTACACTGTTAGTTAATCAAAATTCATCATAGTTAGAAGAGACAATTCCAAATAAAAGCTGGACAGGTCCATTATACAAATTCAGCAAAGAAAAGATTTGTTATACAAACATGATTATAATACATGAATATAGAATGTACATATTTATGATTTGACATTTATAAATGACAGGAATATTTGGAGATGCAGCGTCAGCTGGCGTTACAACGTCTACAGGAGCAGGAACGTGAGATGCAGATGAGATTTGAACAACAGAGACAACTAACACAGATGAGACAGATGCAGAATTATGGTGGATATAACCAGGTGCGTGTAAAATACATGTATCACTTAAATCTTATGTTTGGAATCCCAACAGGGACTTTGGATTCTTTCATGTGAGGAAGCTATCCAGCTAGCTTACGGAATGTTGGTGGTTCTTCTCAGGTGTCCGTTCATGTCTGAATAATGCACGGAAGGGCACCTGAGGTCTTCCTGTAAAGCTGGAATGTTGCCAAATGACCTATACTGTGTCGGTGTGACGTAAAACCCAAACAAACAAAAACATTTTTTTTCAGTCTGAGACTTGTATCTGTCTGTTTATTTTTAGTGTAAGCAGTCACACTCTGCTGTGACCTAGTCTTGTAAAGCCTAAAAGCTTGCCATGTAAACTGGGAACATCAGAGATAAGAAAGGAAAACTTTTGAACAGCTTTTTGTCAATATTTCTCAAGAAAAAGATAAGAAAAATGTTATAAAATTTTGAATTGCAAGCTTCAAGTAATAGGCCCTGTGATATGCGATTAATAACTGATTTTGCTGTACATATCGCCGTTTATTATATACTTATAAATGAAATATTGAGAAATATTGATGAAATAAAATGCGTATTTTCATTTTCCGTATTTTCACTGTAAAAATTTATTTTTCACTGCAGTGAAACATATTTTCCGTATTTTCACTGGTGTCTTGCCGGACTACTTTCTTTTAAATTCTGCCAGTACATAAAATTTAAGGGAAAGCCTTTCAAATTTTAATGTCAAAAAAGAGAAAATGTATTTATTACATGCTTTTCAGTGGTTTATAGAAATGTATCAGTGATATAAAACTGGTAATTTCACTGTTTGAAACAGTGAAATTACCACTTTGATAATTTCACTGTTTTGAATTTAAGCCCCTTACATTGTTTCAGTGAAATACCAGCGTGCACAGTACTGGGTACCAGCTTGATGACGTGACGTCGTAAATGACGTCACGTTGTATTATTATTTGGCGCGCTTTTCATTCCGTATTAGGTTAAATGTCTTTTTAAAACGTTTCTTTGCATGTAATAAAAAGAAAATTTGTTTAGTTTAGTGTAAGATTGAAATATATTTCACCTTGTGAACACCAAAAGTTCATATTTCACTCGTGGCTCCGCCACTCGTGAAATATTCCTTTTGGTGCTCACTCGGTGAAATATATTCCGATCTTACACTGAACTAAACAAATATCCTCTATATAATAAACAGAAAATTCAAGTTTTTTCTATAAATACATGATTTATTTTCATCTTGTGGCATGAAAATTACCATATTTCACTCGTGGCTACCGCCACTCATGAAATATTTATTTTCATACCACTCGATGAAAATAAATCATGTACTTATAGAAAAAACTTGAATATCCTCTATATATCTACTGCTTGACTGATGCAGTATATTTTGAACTTGTTTTGGTAATTTACATGGATCGTAAGTGCTGTTTGCAATGTATAAATTACTTTATTATATACTTATAAATGAAATATTGAGAAATATTGATGAAATAAAATGCGTATTTTCATTTTCTGTATTTTCACTGTAAAAATTTATTTTTCACTGCAGTGAAACATATTTTCCGTATTTTCACTGGTGTCTTGCCGGACTACTTTCTTTTAAATTCTGCCAGTACACAAAATTTAAGGGAAAGTCTTTCAAATTTTATCGCAAAAAAGTGAAAAATGTATATAATAAACAGAAAATTCAAGTTTTTTCTATAATTACATGATTTATTTTCATCTTGTGGCATGAAAATTACCATATTTCACTCGTGGCTACCGCCACTCATGAAATATTTATTTTCATACCACTCGATGAAAATAAATCATGTATTTATAGAAAAAACTTGAATATCCTCTATTTCTTTGTTCCCTTCACAATATTTTTCTTTTAAATACTTTTTCAAACTTTTCATGAAAATTAGCATATATATGGAGGCATGCTGCTTTAAACGACAATTTGGTGTTTGTATCTTAAGTTTTGCATGTTTTGTCCTTCATACTAAATTAAGTTGTAGAACTGGAAAAGTTATGGGTTTTAATGGAGAAATGGTTTGTAATTAATTTTGCCAGTACATTGTACATTCAAAATTCAGTTTTAAGGTAGCTATTTTTTCAAAGACAATGTCATTTTTGTGTTAAAGACTTTGAGTTATATACAGTCAACTTGTGCATAGCAGACCCTTATAGAGACAAAGGTTTTGGTTATTACTAGAATGTGTTTTGTTAAATTTATTGTGTATTCTTACTTTGGAAAGAAATGATACTGTAACAGTTGTTTTTAAATTGTTATTATTCTTAAGATAACTGTTCTGCAGTGGTTGTACTGCTGTCAGTGTTTACATACTAACTACTGTAACTTATTGTATAAGTTAACTTGATTGAATGAATTCTTATTTTCAGCCTGGTTACCCGCAGGGTCCAATGCCAGGCATGATGCAAGGAGGATACAATCCAGGAGCCGGGGCACAAATGGAAGGTTCGCCTGTACACCAACTGCAGCAGCCGGGACCTGGTCCACAGATGCAAGGATACATGCCCCAACAGATGTATGGGCCACAAGGTGGGGCTCAGGTGCCATATACACAACAGGTACAGTTATACAACAAATTTGCCATGGTATTAAAATATAACGTCTTTCATTTCTGGCTAAATTATACCAAGAATGAGGAGAGTTATTGTCCAAGCATAGGTATGGCCTTCACATAGCTATTAAGTTTTTCTGTGCAAGTTGGTATCTCCAAACTACTGAAAGAAAACTACACATTTAATTAAGCGCATCTGAAAGGAAACTTTACACATTTATTTGAGAGCATTATAGCAGGACACTGTCCAAGGCCCATAACTCGAACATTGATTTTGGAAGAATTATGGCCCTTTTTTGTAACTTGAAAATTTCTTCATTATCTGGGCTTTTTGTTTTACTCTCATATACTGAGAATAGTCAAGCATGCTGTTCTGAGTACAGCTGTTGTTATGGTATGACAATAGAATATTTCTTACGGGGGAAAAAAAGGCAATAGAAATATATCAGCAGATTTGTACATTATTAAATAAATGTAGAAAGTTTGTAGTAATGTTAAACATTGTCAATAATATAAGGTTATAACGAAAGTATCTTGATCTGGAATTTGACTTTATTGTACTATACTATGTTATGATATCAGGAGGCACTTGTTTATATTGATTTAAGTGCCAAGTGAGATCCATTCTAGTAAAACCCATGTGAGTGAAACAAGAGAGTTCTAGGCAGGGTAACTTTACACAATACTAAGATGCAGACAAACTAAGAACTCAAAAGATATAGGTTCATTTATGTCATTTGTTCATTCAATGGCATAATTCAATGACCAATAGTCTTTCAGAATGTTGCTGGGGTTCTTACCAGTAGGGGAATTATAGATTGCTTGCAATACTATGATAATTGCTTGTTTTATTTCATTTGATGACATTTAAAGGATTAAGAAATACATACATGTTATGCAACTCTATTTCACAGGGTGGACAACAGAGCATGTATCAGCAAATGCCCCCTGGTGGTGGCCAGATGCCCCCTGGTGGTCAGATACCTCCTGGAGCACAGATGGCACCTAGTGGTCAGTCTATGGGTCAACAAGGATACACTGGTCAGTACATGAGTCAGACAGATGGTCCTGCTCCCCCAGGTGTACCACAACAGAGTACCTATCAACAGCCGGGCAACATGCAATATAATACTGGTAATACATTGTTTTTATACCAGAAGCATCATTTACATTTATCCCATACAATGTATATATCAGGAAAGAAACAGCATATTTATGAAGAACATTCGTTATTAAATGGTCATTTATTGTTGCATTTCTGGATTTTGAGCTCTTACCTTTGTTATAAAACAATTAGTAGAATATTTTAACAATCAACCATATATCCCAAATATTATTTCTATAAAGATGTTCATAATTATCATGTTTTAAGTGACTTTATACAGTCAAAATACCACAACAAAAAGTTGTCATGAAGGTACATAATAGTGATCATTACTGCTAACAATTTAGGTTTTGGTTACCTCCCTTACACTATAATTACAACAGAACTGTCTTGAATAGGTCAAACATAAACTTGTTATTAGTCTATCTATATTTACTAGATGGGTCTAAGTTCAACTATCATATCTGCATATCAATATTGACTAGTTGTAAACTCAGTGCAAGGCTATCTTATCAGTTTATCTTTGGAAAGTCAGTGTAAGACTAGCCTATCAGTTTATTTTTCTTTACTGCTTGGAAAGTCGGTGCAAGACTAGCCTATCCGTTTATCTTTGTTTTCTGCTTAAAAAGCTGGTGCAATACTATCTTACCTTACTATTTCAGATGCATCTGGTGCACAGAGTATGCCCCAGACTTTGCCGGGTCACATGACCAATCAGAACCAGGGGTATGGGTCCTTACCCCCACAGATAGGTGGAGAGTATCAACAAGGGGCATATAACATGCAAGGTAAATATAAGATACTGTACTGTATGTAACACTGTACAATATATACAAGCTTAATAAATATTTATAATATAAAGCATAATTTGATTGTTTCAATATTTTGTGGATGCAAGGTTATAAAACAATACAATCATTATTATCTAATATTCATAAATGTTAAGGTTGAAACAAAACATAAGAAACAGATTGTTTCCTAAAAATGTGTATCTCTTAGATTGTAAGAAACAAAACCATGACTTTTTAACTCCTTTAATTAAAGAGGATTTATAAATTTTTTTTTCATTTTTAGGCTTGTTTCATGTACTGGTAACTGTTAAGATATAGAATATAAAATAATGTTAGAATTGTTATAATGTTACAGGCATGGCAAGCTCTTTACCACAATCTGATGGATCAGGGTATAATGGCCCTCCACAACTACAACAACAATACATGGGTCAGGCCGGTCCCCCTCAAGGTCAACAATACCAAGGTCAAGGTCAACCACAACCAGGCATGGTACCAGCACAAAACATGGGCCAGCCTCAACATAAGCCGGGCCCATTAGAAGCAGAACTTATTTCATTTGATTAGAATTTTTTTATTGTTGTTATAATTTGTATGATATATATTTTGTCGAAAATTCACAGGCATGTTCATTGTTAAGATATAGTAAATAGAAAAAGATTTGACATAGATGTGACTTCTAAGAAAAATGATAAAAATTGCTTGTAAATTTTTGAAATGATAGAATATGTATTTTCGTTTATATATGAAGTCATTTAAACAACAACAATATTTGTTGCATTTTAAAGCTTTAGTCAAAATGCATTCAACATGGCATTTAAATTTCTTTTTAGGTAAACAATGTTATACAATATAGACAATATAGATAGTGATTATATACATAAATTGACATTAAGTAATATGAATAATTGTTTGAATAGCATTTGAAAATGATTAAACCTCAATTGTTTACCTGCACAATTTGTATAACGGATTTGCCTAGCTTTAAATTTTGAGGAGTCTTTGAAGTTTTCAAAGTTAATATCAAAATACAAAATTTGAGCTGTCAACATTATATAGCCGTGTACCAGACTGCAATACATGTACAGTCTGGGCCATGCTCTATATTAATGACAAATGCAAAATAACTATGAGCCTAGCGCACGGTTGTGATATTGACGAAAAAATCAAATTCGGGGCTACACTATATTGGTCCTAATGGGAAACATGCGCTGTGATTTTGTTTACCGATCGTTTATTAAATGTATTTGAACCAAGTTTTGTAGAAGCTTGCTATTGTGATTATGTAGAGACATTTTCAAATCATACCAGCTTGTTAACTCGTTGTACTAGTCTTTAAGAAGGTTTGCCGGCTATTATGTTACATTTTACACAAACTACCATGTCATATTAAACCCAACTTTATTTATTTATTCTTTATGATTAGTCACTACTTAAACCACGTGTTAGTTTAAAACAACTTTCTGTCTCATGTATTTTAGTACTCAATGTAATGAAATTAGAAAGTGATTCAATTTTTAAAGCATATTAAGTCAAATTAATTGAAAGATTAGGTAGACAGACAGAACTATAAGATATATTTCCAAAAGAATTGATGATACGCTTTATATCCTTGCTAAGCAAACTAATCATAGATCTATTAATTAGTGGGGGGCATTAAAAGATAATACCTAGTTCATTCAGTAGATAAGCGTTAGCGGTAAGAATAGGGATAAGTTTATGAATTGGCAACAAAAATGAAATGATTTGATGAAATTAATCAGGTAACAAACAACATTGACATAGTGAAGTTTGATTTATATTAAATTAGACTTGAAAAAGAAATCCAAAGAGACATTTTCTATGTAAATGGAATAAACAAGATATTTAATGTTTCCTCATACAGCGCCATAATGCTTAGATCCAGAAAGCAGATTTGAGATTAGTCCATATATTTTCTTCACAAGGAATTTTAAATAAAAAAATGTAAAAGCTTAGCAATGAATCAGTAGATAAACTGACAAAAAATGGGAAATAAACTGCCATTGCAAAAAGATTTATTTAGATAATGAATTCTAAAAATCACGTTTAAATGTGCCCCTTTGTCTTTGTAATGGATTTTCTTTCTTTCACTGCAATACAGTATTCAATAATTAATCAATATGTGATACTTAAAACTTTTTTCCCCCATTTCACATCAGAATTGATTTGAACGCAAAATTAGCTTTCAGGTTTGTTTACTTATGATAGGTGAAAAATGTGAATTCTCCTTCTACATACAGAACACAGTTCTAGATACTTAATCTGGATAAGATCATCTCTATGGAACTATGTGCAAAAGACATTGCGTTACTATTATTTTACAGGTTCTGTTCTATGACTCTGCAGAATTTCGTAGGTTTCTCTTTCCTTGGATTATTCGTATAGTCTCTGTCACAATTATTAATGATCATTAAAACTTTGTTACCAGTACCATTCACATCCAATTTCAAGGCTTTTCAATTTATTTTGGTCTTTTCAAGATACACGTATCAATCACCCAACAGACTAATGTGTAAATAGAAAGTTCAAGTCAACACGTTGTGATTTATGGACGAACTTATTTTCACCTGCTGTATAATAAAACAACTTGAAAGAGGACAGGAACAAAACTGGTTCACTATGTATGAGCTTGTTTGCGAAACAGTAGTGCTCGTAATACAACAAACACCAGGTTAACACTGGTAAAAATTATCGCTAGTGCTGTAATCGTGCTTTGCTTAAACATAACAAATAACAAATAAATTCTTTTTTATGTCAATTTTGAATATATGATTTAATTTAACTGTACAGTCAAGATGAGTTATTAAAATGACCTTGTTAAGTGTAATGTAAAAGATAGCATTCACTGTTGTTTTCAATTAAAGATTTCAATATTTTCAATAAAGATTTCAATAATATCTGTAGAAATTTCATTTTATTTTTTCAGCCTACTAGTAAAAACAAGGAAACTATCATGAAAAAATATTGCCTCTGGTTTATGAATTGTCCTCCAAAAAATGACTAAAGTATTTAGACATGGGGAGCTTAACTATATTAGGTAAATGAAATCTGTAATCTTAGAAACCACAAGCCCTTTAAAAATATAAATATGTTATACCTGTGAAGTTAGAATGACTGCAAAATGTTGAATTCTATTATATTATTTGTTTAAATTCTTTTGACGAACACGTGGCGCGGGATTAACAATTGTATGCGAACGTAACCTATTCCGGTATGCACGGTCAACAAATTTATGGTAATGCGTAATTGCTACCTTTAATGTGCCATTGCTACCTTTAATGAGAATGGAGAGATATTTCACAAATAGCAACACAAGCGTCTGTACTGTCCCTGATAAACCAAAGTAAAACATGCGAAAAAGAACGACCGTAACCGGTGCACATGAGCCATAAGCATACTTATTGTCTAATAGAAATGAATATTACAAACTTGAAGCATTGTATTAACACAACAGGCATTTAACTTGGAAGTATTTTTTTTGCATCGTAGTTACCTCTATGGAGCTATATAGATCACTTGCCTTTGGTCAACAGTGACTCAAAACAGGGCCTTTTTGTTATAGACTATGTTGTCACAGAAATTTATGATACGATTAATATTGTTCAGTTAGGATATTCTTATTTTAATAACATAACCTTATAGTAATTAAATCAATGCTTTAAATGTAACTATCATCATATGTATTGATGATATAATGCTATCTTATACTAACTGTAAATGGACCAAATTTTTTCATATCTTAGCCGTTAAGTGAAAATCCATTTAAGAACTCTTTTAAGTCGAATTAGAAATATGATATTGTTTGCTTGAGAAATTTATCAAATGATGTTTTTTTTTCTATTTTCAGTCATTTTATTTGTTTCAAATGTGTTTCTTCCAACTGTCATTATCTAAGCACATTTAAATCAACTTAAGTTATTCCCTCGGGGTTTACGTTAAGCCATCATATCGTCAAATAAAGGTTTACAATATTAGAAAACTGCCTTATTGGGGTTAAATGCAATTGTGGCAGTTCGTTTCAAACAATCTAATTTTCTTTGCAAATTAAACCAGTAAAACTGTGTCTCAAGGGAACTTATCTACATGTTTAAAAGAAAACATTCACACTAATTTATTATATTTAAAACCAAAATATATATAGTTTTGAGCAAATTGTGATGGATTATTTTAAGTTCACATTACAAAAAAAGTTCAATATCTGAAATTAACGATCTCATGTGAGCACAATTTGCTCATGCTGAGCTACTATGATCTCCATGCGTCCGTCGTTGTGACGATAAATTTGGTTTAACAAATATATTTTAAAATGTTTAAAATAGATATACGAATAAATTATAAAAAGAGTAATGAATATATTTGATAATTTATTTGTAAAATTACATTTTGGAAGTTTATTTCTTCAGAAAATTTGCTTGAACGTAGCCCTATTGACTACAGTGAAGCACTGACCAATTCATTATTGCATGATTTGAAGTCCTTGTTATATTTAGCTTTGAACGCACGATAATAAAATCAAACAGTTATAACATAAAAATAATAAACAGAATACAAGCACTAACCTCTAAAATATAAATTTTCTTAAGACTTGTTATTTTACATTTTAATTAATCATCTATTTCAAGTAGTTCTATAAAAGTCGATTGCAAGAAAAGGTAACTAATACATAGTGTATATAAATACCGGGACAGAAATAGTAAAATATAAATATTACGTACTAGATAAAAGAACTATTTTAACGATTATATTCAAAATACTGTAATTAAAGTATCAATGCCAAACTTTCAGCATTTATCAGTTTACAAAAGCGCTTACTACATCAATCGAAGTATAGGAACTCATAGAGTATTAATATTAATATTTTGAATATTTTTAGAAAAATTACCTTTGAAGTTGATTTGTACGTGATAAAGCTTTGAAAATCATCGGAATATTTCATTATAAAACCTTATTTTACATATACTGCTTCTAGGGAATCTCCGTGTTCATTTTTGTATCTGTGGCTTTTATTTCTGAATGCAATATACCAAATGTTTCATTATATTTCTAATAATATCTAATCAAATGAAAACTATATCTTTATTTTATTGATATGCATACCAATTTATAAAAAAGAAAGATTTTTCCAAATTGAAACCACATTTATTTGTTCTTGTTTTATGCATTTTATCCAACAGTCAACATTTTAAATTATAATGGTGATTACGTAAACCCACCATATCCAAATGCTTACAGAATTAGGAAACTAGATCTTATAGAGGTTTAAATGCCAACTTGTTACAATATATTTCAAAAGAGATTTGAATTATCGTTTGTAAATTAAAACGTCTCCGTTACATTAACAACAGAATACAATCTGTAATGAGCTGTTCTCCCATGGAACTATAGGTGTTAAAATCTGTACAACCGAAAAACCAGGACGTACTGCCAGAAACGTAAACGTCAGCGATAAACCAAACAAAACATGGACATTCAATTTATATTCATCTGTTGAACTTCTAAGATTTATATGTGGTAAAAGGAAATTCCTTGGTAAACAGGATACATTTATTGTTTCCACTTATAGCACCTTCGAAGTTACTTTAGTTACAGGAATTGGGAACTTTTGCAGTAGTTAAATATTTTATTCAAAAGGGTTTCTAAATAAATAAAAGTTCTCATTTAACTGATGCACATTGTCTTTGGAATGAGATCTTTCCTTACATTTATGTCAGTTAAATTAATATACAAATACAATTAACTCAAAACGTCGATTTGTAAAACTATGTTTTCTATTTATCAATCAAAAGTTTATTGATACACAAAATATACCTGTTATGTTTCTTTTACAAATAACGGATGACCAATGTGATGATAATACAACATTACAGAACTAACTCCAGTTGACTACAGTCAGTTTTGTTTAATCTCCCGATTCTCGCACAACCGAAGATCAACATTATGAATCAAAATGTAGCAACAGATTCATCTGCCATTTTCGTCCGTCCTCTGTTATCTATGGCGGCAGAATTTTCGTATATTCTCGTTTTCACATGGGATTCATTCTGATTATCAG